AAATACCTTCGCCAAGGTGTATGAGAAAGTGTTATACGGTAGAATTTATCCATCTGTGATAAGATTTATCTCTCCAGCTCAACATGGGTTCATAAAGCACAGATCCACGGCCACTAACCTGACCTGCATTACCCAATTTATAGAGACTGTACTTGACAATCGTGGGCAGGTAGATTGTATCTACACTGATTTTGCCAAGGCTTTTGATTCAATTGCTCATGACATTATCTTAGCAAAATTAGATGACTTTGGTTTTGATGTTTCTTTACAACTTCTGGTTAAGAGCTATTTGCAAAATCGATACCAACAGATAACTTATAACAATTTCGTTTCGTCTTATATAACTGGAGTACCTCAGGGGTCCAATTTGGGACCTCTCTTATTTTTAATTTTTATTAATGATTTGCCGGAAAAAATTACTAATTGTGGTAGTTTACTGTTTGCTGACGATTTTAAAATCTTTTCTACTATTGCAACTATACACGACTGTGTGCACCTTCAACGTCAACTGGACATTCTTAGTGAGTGGTGTGATTTAAATAGGTTACCATTAAACATCAATAAATGTACAGTAGTCACCTACTCCCGTAGGGTCACGCCCATTGACTTTGAATACAACATTAATACTGCTACACTGGTTAAAACAAATAGTATTAAGGATTTAGGTGTAACCTTCGATGCTGGTCTTGCATTTTCAAAACACATTGATAATATCGCTAAACAAGCCATCTCGACCCTTGGTTTTATTTTAAGAAATTGTAAATCTTTCACCAATATTACAACGTTGAAGACCTTATACTATTCTTTAGTTCGCTCGAGACTGGAATATTGTGCTATAATGTGGAATCCCATTGTAAAATACCAGAAAGATAAGCTTGAATATGTACAACGCAAATTCTTAAAATCTTTAGTTTATAGAATTGATCATCAGTATCCCCCACGAGGTTATAGCCAACAACGTTTGCTTTCACGTTTTTTTCCTTAAATCCCTAGAACGCAGACGTTGTGAAATTTGTATCTCTTTTTTGTACAATTTATTACATAATTT